GTTTGCCACGTGGGAGTCTAGTGCCTTTAACCACAAAGCCACCTGCCAGCCCGTTTCAGATTTTTTAATCTGCTTTGATCTCAGTCTAACTTTAACTCTGTGCTGAATTTGAACTTTACGCTAAGGATTGTGGGGAAAATTTCAAACAATTTCTTTCCTTGGTGTCTTGAAGTACCAGGAGGGGGTTTCTATAAGGTTTCTTGGTGGGTTTTTTTTGTTTATTTTTTAAGAGCAGTTAATTTATTTACTTCTATGTGAGAGAAAGACAGAGGGAAAGAAAAAGAGGGAGAAAAAGAGATTCAAGCACCCCCTAAGAGTCTTCACACACACTGCAGTGTCCTCCCAGCCTCAGCCAGCCAGGATCACAGGCACAGGCATGCCCAGCGAAGTTCTTGGGACTGAACCACGACCTTCCCATATGGCTTCAGCATCACAGACCTTTGTGTTAGCTCTTATCACTGTAGCTAGCCAGATCTCTAAAGTATTTTGCTTTTGTTTTTTTGAGAGATTTTTGCTATAGGGCAGGTGTGCTTGCTGGAGAGACAGAGGGAGACAGAATGTAAGATATCACCCCTCAGGGGGGTTGGCCACATCACAGGCCCTTCTCCAATCTCTTCTCAGGATTTTTGGCACATGAGCACATGTGCCCAGCACAAGTCTTAAGCCACTGGGTCGGGGACTCGAACTACGGTTGACCATGTGGGAATCCAGTGATGTAACCATTATGCCATCTGCTGTCAAATAGCCTGAAAGCTAAGGGAGCTGGATCAAGTCCTGGACCTGGTGACTGCTGAGAAACACACTAGGCACATGTGGATGAGTATCCAAAATCCTGAAGGGATGGAGAGGAGAGAAGAGACTGCAGCATGACCATTCCCCATAGAGGGTGCTTGCTCCTCTCCCTCTCTTTCTGGCAAGCACACATCTTCGAGCAAAAAGAAAAAGAGAGAAAGGAATCCTTATACTAATATTTACGATATCCATATTAACTGACTATTATGGTGTTTTCTTTGTGCCTATTTCTTTACATGGTTGACAGCATTTATTCTTCACCTCAACTCTATGATACAGTTCCTTTTATTATCATAATTTGACAAATGCAGAAAACGAGTAGTTCATTCACTTACTCAGGAACCCAGAGTTGATAAATCTGAGCCTGGATTTGGAGCTGAATCTGTTTGATTTTATAGCCAGTTTCTGCGTATTCTGCTGTCAAAAGTACAGGAAATCAATGATAAAAAATGCAAGATATGTCGTCTTATTTACTCTGTGATGGATTAGGATTAGGTATTGCAATAAATCCATCAAGACAGAAGGGAAAAAAAAAAAAAACAAGAAAAACTACAGGAGTGATTAACAGCCAGAACCACTACAACCAGGTCCTCCTCCCTGAGTCCCAAGCTACTCATGCACAAACGTGCCCATGTTCCTTACTGCCCTTTAGTGAAAGGGTTTCTCACCAGAGCAAATCTGCCACCAGATGAGTATATTCCCCTGCTTTATGCTGAGAAAAGGGAAACCACCACTAATAAGCACCTGCTGTATGCCAAGCACTTTCCCATCATGTCATCTCTAAGAATTCCAAGTTCTGAATTGTACAGTAAGGAGGGGCTTCGGCTCTCTTGGTTGTCATCTCATTTGTTACCTGCAATGATTCAGGCCTGCCAAAGGGTATGGGAGCTGCCTCCCAGGGAGCAGGTAAGGGCAGGCCTAGAACCAGGTCATTGTTTCTGTTCAAGGCTCTGACTCCAAGGGGTAGGAATGAGAAAGAGAAAAGCCAATTCATCCTACTTGGATGCTAAACAGGCTTTCAGGGTAAAGGGAAATGCACCCCACTAACGACAGTGACCTAAGGATCTAGAGGCCTCTGTTAGGTAGGTCCACAGCATGCCCCGGTCTTGCCAAGTTTAGTAGGAGTTGGGTACCAAGCTGGTCAGTGTTCTCCTGGGTCTGTGCCAACAAAGGTAACCAAAGAACATAGCTGAGTAACCACTGCTCTGGCCAGGAGCCTCATCTGTGCCCCCTTGAAGGTGTTGTAGTTTTCCATTACTGAGAAATTCTTAAAACTCAGGTGACTCACCATCTCTTCAACTTGCACCAAAGGTGAAGCCTAGTTCTTTGCCCTCTGATCTCTTGTCTACGCCCAACTTCAGCTGGGTCATACCTGGCACATCATTTCAGAGTAATTCTGCTGGTTAATCTTGCTGGTTCGCATGCTTTATCTGCAGAATAACCTTGCTGGTTAGCATGATTTTGGGGGCATGGAGTTCTCTCCCAGGTAGGGTTGCCAGATTTCACAAATAAAAATATAGGACCCTAGGGACCAGCAGTTAGCATAATGAGTTAGCGTAATGGCTATGTCGCTGGACTCCCATGTAGTTGATCGCGGTTCGCGTCCCGGACCCAGTAGCCTAAAACTCACGCCAGGCGCGTGTGCGTGCGTGCCCAAGATCCCGAGAGGAGAATGGAGGAGAAGGGATTGCAGCGTGACCATCCCCCCTGGGGGGTGGTTTCTTGCTTTCTGTCTCTATGTCTCTCTCTGTCTATCTGGCGAGTGCACACCATGCCCTATAGTGAAAAACCTCTCCAAACAAAAAAGAAAAAAAGAAAAGCATGCTGGGAGCATGTGCGTGTTTGCCCCAAAACCCAGGAAGAATGGAGAAGGGATTGCAGTGTGGCTATCACCCCCAGAGGAATGATTTCTGACTTCTCCTCTCACCATTTCTCTACTCTCCTTTTGGGGTTTAGGGCATGGACATATGCACCAAGCATGATTTTCAAGCCAACTGGGTCTAGGACTTCAACTGCAGTTGGCCATGTGGGAGTCCAGTGCCTTAACCGTACACACCACCCATTTGCCCTGTGTATATTTTTATTTATTTATTTTTTAAGAGATTTTTGCTATAGGGTGCATGTGCTCACTGAGAGACAGAGAAAGAGAGCAAGAAATCAGCCCCCGGGGGGGATGGCCATGCCACAATCCCTCTCCTCCAGTCTCCTCTCAGGGTTTTGGGCATGCACCTATACATGCTGGCATGTTTCAAGTCCCTGGGTCAAGAGCTTGATCTGTAGCAACCATGTGGGAATCCAGCAATATAACCACTATACCACCTGCTAGTCCCTATTTTAAATTTTAATAGGGTTGTTAAATGCTCTTCTGGTGGTTTCTGAGGACTTTTAATCCAGCATTTCTCCAAAGAGTGGTCCCAGAATGAATCAGAATCTCTAGGGGTAGAACTCTTAGAGATTCAGGTTTATCAAGCTCCCTGGGGAATTCTAACATTCACTACAGTTGGAGAGTCATTTTCTTTTATACTTAAAGGCCCAGAAAGGGAGAGATATCATCAGTAGAAGGGGTTAACTGGTTGAAGCTAACATTGAGGACATTGCTGAGCCTGGGGAAAATGTAGTAGAGTGGGGTGACCAGCAGGTGGCATAGTGGTTAAGGCACTGGTCACTTCCACATGGCTGGCCATGGTTCAAGTCCTGAATCTGGTGGCTTGTTTTCTCGCTTCCTCTCTCTCTCTGTCTGTGTCTTTCTCTGATCAAATTAAAATAAATGAATGAATAAATAAAATTAAATAAATAATTCTTAAAAAAAAAAAAAGAAAATGTAGTAGAGGGGTTGGTCGTATTCAAAAAGATACGGGGGCCAGCAGGTGGTATGGTGATTAAGTCATTGGATTTCCACATGGCCCACCGTGAGTTGAGTCCTGGACCTGGCAGCTTGCTTTCTCACTTTCCCTTTCTCTCTCTGGTCAAATTAAAAATAATAATATCAAATAGAATTAAATAAATAAATTCTTTTTTAAAAAAGAAAAAGATCTAAGTTTGAATCACAGAAAGTAGAACAGCCTTAGGTTATGAGCCCACTGAGCCCTGCACACTCACCTGGCTCCCTCTCCCACTTCAAGTCTCTGACAGCTGTCCCTTAGGCTCTCTCTGGCTACACTATTTTAAATTGTCCCCCTTCCCCAGCCCCTGGCTTATTTTTCTCAGTAGCATTTATTACCATCTAATACGCTACTGACTTTATTTATTTATTGTCTGTCTGTCCCATTACAAAATAAACTCCATGGGACCAGCAGGTGGCCTGGTGGTTAAGGCGCAGGACACTCCCCTATGGCTCAACCATGGTTTGAGTCCTGGACCTGGTGGCTTGCTTTCTCACTTCCTCTCTGGTCAAATTAAAATAAATGGATGAGTAAATAAAATTAAATAAATAATTCCTAAAAAACAAAAAAAACCTCCATGAAGGTTTTTTTCTACATCTTTCATGTATTGATGTACCTTTCCCGCCTAAAACAGGGCATGCCAAATAATAGGCACTCAGTAACTGTGTTGTATGAATAAATCTTTCTATAAAAAGGGAGTTAATAACAGTATGTACCTCCCAGGGAGACAAAGGACTGTAATGAATATTAAATAAGATAACACATTTAAAGAGCTTGGAACACAGTGTCTAGACGTGCAAAATGATTACACTATTGATCTAAGAAGCTTCCCAGGCTGACTGAATTCTGGGATGGCGGTGGAGGGTTCTTGGACTTTTCTGGCAGATTTTTACTGTTGATCAGCCCTCTTTCTCCCACTTTCCTTTGGGTCACTCTCCCCAAGGAATTCCTGGTTCCTCAACAATTATTCAAATCCAAGTCTAACTGGTTCTTCAGAACAGAGGATATAAAAAGAGGAGCGGCCGAGCCCTAACTTTGACAGAGAGCTTTCTCCCGTCCTCACCTCAGCTCCCAGCAGGTGACACGGAAGCGATTTTAACAGTAACAGCCGCCTCCTGCAGTCGACTGGAAAGGAGAGAAACAGCGTTACCCGAAGCGGCAATCCCAAGCACCCGGCTGCTAGCGAGGGAACTGGAGAAGCGCTTCTCTTTCTGCGCAGGCGCCCTCAGTCGGAGCTCCGCGACTATCGCGATAGACGAGCGAGATCGCCGCTGGCCCTTTAACAGCCCTTTCCCGGGGGCCTGCCCCGCGCGTGCGCACTGCGGTTCTGCGCTTGTCATCATGGCGACGCGGGGCCATGTGCAGGACCCTAACGACAGGCGTCTCCGGCCCATTTACGGTGAGTGCCTGGGGCCAGCTCGGTTTCCTGCCCGACGCGCCGAGGGCTGCCGAGGCCAGAACAAAGGCC